GACAGCATCGTTAGCACGCAAGGTTTTGCTAAAAAGAAAATGATAAAAGATTGCGACAGTAGCTTCGTATTCTCCTTGTACTTCATGCATCATGCCTCCAGATGTGATCATTAGTGGATGCATTGTGTGTGAGTTGTTCTGTTTGTTCTGTGTCTTGTTCTCAGACACTACACAGTGCGTTACCGTGAGAAGAACAGGAAGTGGAACTACCAGACCTGTCCAACAAGCGATACAGTCATTGACAAACTGAAGCCAAACACAGTCTATGAGTTTGGTGTCCAGCCAAATTCTAAGGATGGCACTGGTGTGTGGAGCAGGCCGGTTGTTCACAACATCAGCATGCCAGGAGTCGAAGGCAAGTTTGACTTCTTTGCTGAGCCATATTATCACCTTCTGTAGCAAATACCTCGAATCTGACTACAATTATTTTAACATCCTAATAAAAACATGGATTGACAGGTAGTGCTAGGAAAAAGGTAGAAATTTCTGGGACAAATGCAACAACTCATTTTTGTATATGAACAGTGTCATAAGAATCTGGTTGTCTCGTTGTCTGAGAGCAGGTTAAAGACAATTCAGCATTCAGTCTGACATGTGCAATCCCAAAATCTGCTCTGTTAAAGACTAGAGGATTTCAGGGCTGCAGTGCATGTGTAGATAGGGCTTCAGTCTTTACCGATTATGTGAGCATGACAAGGCTACACTGCAGTATTGCATTTCCAGTTACTGAAACGAACCATTTTTTTCCTTTCACATTGTTTCTTCCACTGAAGTCACATATTTACTGATTCTTCTCTTGTGTTTCTAGAGAAGGTCATCAGGAAAATCTTTAGGCCTCCAGTCAGCCCTGCGGTATGTAATGAATACAGCCAGTTTGTTATTGAAACAAACCTAAATATTCAGTGTTTTATTCTATTTTTGAATGGATACACGTGCTACTAGAGGTCGAATATGCTCAGTATTGCAGTAAACAAGTGTGTGTAATGAAATGGCACAGGTATACTTCCATTTATCAAAGAAAACAAAAAGGAACTGGTTGTGCATTTGGAACGGGCAATCTGCTTTAGAGTCCTTGTACACTTTGGTGAGCTTATGCTATTCTCAGGGTTGTTTGCCTCATTAATTTTCCATCCAACTGCTGAATGGAAACGGCATCGATGCAGCCAGGACTGAGAGAGCAGTCAAGCCAAAGAGAGCAGTCTGCAGCTACAGCTAACTTGAGTGGGGATTAAAAAAAAGGGAGATGAGTTGGAGGCACAAGGGAGGAGGGATAATAATGCTGAAAAGAGTTCAGAGAAGAAAAGTGGCACAAATTTTCTAACAGCGTGGCTCTGCTCTATCATGCCAATCTCACAAAACAGCACAGCTGTTGAGATTTAGCCTCAGGACTTGCCCTTAAAGGAAAGCTTTGAATAACAAGAGTCTCACTAGGGACTTTACCAACTTGACATGGTGTAAAGAGGCTATAGGTTATAGGTTATGCAACAAAGGAAAAGACATGGTACAGCCCAAATACTAATTCTTTTCACCTGTTATGATAGTCATAGACTAACACCCACTTTTTCTTCATGTCTTTTTTGCCTTTCACCCATCAGAAACCTTTACCTTCAGGTCCCCATTCCTTGCCCTCATTTCCTCACCTCACTTCCTCAGGTAAGCAAACAGAGAGACACTGCTGAGGTGAATTTGATACAGAAGGCAGAATCTACTGCTGCTTAGAGATCTCTGTTTGAATTCCTTTCCACTGACCCCTACCTTAAGATTTAACACTGGAAATATTAATAAAGCCATAATTTATTGTTCTGCAGACAGGATTTCCCCATATACCTCCAGCTTCTAAAATAATTTTACTTAGCTGGGCATGCAAAGTACAGTTTTTAACAGCACTCAACACTGTATTCCAAACATCTACAAGAACTTTCCACGGATTTTCCATCTTTTCTAGCTCTTCTTTCTCTTCAAGTAATGCCTGAGTGACTCAATAAAGTTATGAAGAATTTTCTTTGGGGGTGATTTCATCCGTTGGACTCCTTTTTTTTATGTTCCTTGAAGTGATTTGTCTTTAATGTGATTATATGTTTGAGGTTGTTGTCATACCACAGCATGAATTAATCTCTCTGATAATAAACAAGATACTAAAATGCTTAATACAATTCCACTGAACGCAGTCTAAAAAGATTAGTTTTGATTTGGTAAATCAACTAACTGTACTTTCTACAGCAATTATGATGGTGTGGAGTTGTTAGATGTGTTGTGTTGTTAGGCGGTGTACAGTAATGTCAAAGGGTTGCTATTCACTTCTAATCACTTCTCATTTTAAAAGACGGTAAAGAGCATTAATACGACAGAGGGATGAAATGTCAGCATTGCATTTACAAATTGTTTCTGTTGACACCAAAATCAATTAATGCACATTTGAATTATTTCCTAATTTTAGCTCTCAGATACCACGTTTAATATTGGAGGATTAAACCAGCACTAAACATTTTTGTGCAAAACGTTTAGTGAACTGACTCTTTCAAAACATATTTTGCTGTTCTTAAATGACTGACTAATCATGATCATTTACTGCTTTTCAGAAGTGAAAATTAAGCCATTGTAATTTTTCTCTCCTTGACTTTAATCTCTGCTTTGTCCTTGTCAGTCCAAAACAAGACCAGGGGCAGACTGCCCCTCTCCAGGAACATAGCCGCACAGACGACTCTTGGTAATGATTTTTCTGACCTAAAACTGAGTTCAGAGGTCAGAAAGATCTCTGGACCTCATGTCTGACACTGACTTCTCTATCGCTGTCGTGAAAGCTAATTTTTATTATACAAACAATATTGCCCTGCACATTCTACAGGTTGTAGACCCATACCTTTTCTCTTGGTTATACTAACATACACTATTTTTCTTAGCGCCAACCACAACCACAACCAAAACCACAACTACTACTAGGGAAACCCTGTCTACTCCTGGACCTGCACCTGCTGTGATCAACAAACAGCCAATTGGTAAACAGAGAATCATGGTTCTTTTTGAAAAGCTTCATGGCTCTCATTTCAGCTGTGTAAAATGATGGACGGAATTGCACTAGTTGCATGAGCAGCTGTTTGGGCTGCAATAATGTGGGTGATCTTGGATGCATGGGATTTTAGGAAAACAACAAAGCTTGCAGAGATTGTTGATGATGTTCTCAGGGTTCAGTTGTTGAAAGTCAGTAGAACAAGCCTGCAAGCCAAAACGATTTTATATTCCTGAGACATTAGTGACTTTTAATGAGCTCTGAGAACCTCATTAACTGCTGCTCATTCAAAAAAATTATTTCAGTCATATCATACATATTCCAAATTATATCTCAGATTTATCCACTGTATTTTTTAAAAAAGTTTTTTGTATTTCCATGTCTAGCATTTTTTTTGTTGGTATGTTTAACTCTTTATTCTTATTTCAAGATTCACAGTGTGGTTATTACCATTTTTGGATGATTAGAGGCTTTTGCTTTTAATGCAGTGGAGTTGGTAGCAGTGCATGAATAAACTGCATGATGGAATTTTTTCTCTTCTTCCAACAGGAACTTCAACAAACTATGTTATTCCTTTTTCTTCCCTGTATTTCACTGTCGTCTGTTCCCCCTTTTTTACATTTATGTTCTCAAACACAGGGATCTGCAGAAACACAGTGCTGGAAATGTATTTTGAAACCATGAAGGTAGACACTGAAACACAAAATGGGATATAGTCAGTTCCTCAAGTAAATGGAGATCATTCCAAACTTTTAGCCGTGTACCCCACCATAGTTTAAAATTGGATAAAATTGATCTGTTACTGAAGTTGTAGCTTTAATTCAAGGGGCTAACTGTAATTCGAAATTACATCCATTTTCTACACAGCTCCCTGTGTTTCCAGGATATGCTAAATGTTAATGGGAGCAGTACAGAGCAAAAGAGCAGAGACTTTGGTGCATGATCAAATCAACTGTTTTTTGTTGTTTGTTTTGTTTCAATCCATGAATCAAAGCTGAACGGCATTAACATCACTGTTTGTGCTGAGATCCACTGAGGTGGTGTATAGATATAAAGTTGTGAAAATGGTTTAAGTACATGGTACTTAAAATGAAATGATGAAATGATTGATTCTTTTTTGGGGTGATACGTCCTAACATTTAACGTTCCTCGTTTCCTTCTCTTCTTTTTTGACTTCCTCTTTTTCTTCATTCTCGCTCATTGATGGGAACATCTCATTAGATTGAACAACCAGGTTAGAATGGTCTATCAAACTTCCACACTAAGTCATCATAACCAGTGAATTTAGATGCTCATCACACTTAACCACAATAGCCTTTCCTATCATAACACATAATACCTGCACAAGCTCTATCTGCCATTGAAATTGCACTTGGCCTATGAGACAAACATAGAGCAGTGTTGCTTGTTTTTGTTTTTTTTTTCAATAATTGCTCTGAGTAGCACATCAGTTGGTCTAAACTGTTGGCTCTCTTGCTTTTATGTCTTTCCTGGATGATGAAAAAAAAATGTATGTATATATATTTTTTACATTTTGTAAATGGAACAGAAGATTATTTTTGAAATTTTACAGTACACAACTGTGGCTTCATGGCCATCTTTTCTTTTTCTCACATAACCCAGGAGGAGGAGACCTCTCCAGATCTGAGGTCCCATTAACTCCCAAGCTCCATCCTTTACTACATATAACAACCACCATGGCACCTGTGCCAGTAGTCCAGGCAAATGTGGAGAATCGTGGAGGGCACGTACAACCTCAACCTAACTTGAAGCTCCAGCAACAGTATTCAGTACTACCAAAGCCCAAACCCCAACAGCCTCGAATGAAGCCCAGAGTTAATGTTCAACGTCACCCAAAGCCCCATGACCAAACTGTGACACAACCCCACAGAACATCCCAGCCCAAAATCCAGACGCAACCACAACCCGAGACAACACCCCAGTCCATAATTCAGATCCAACCACAACCCCACACAACACCCCAAATCAAAGTCCAAACCACATCAAAACTCCACACAACACCCCAGGCAAAAATTCAGATGCAACCACAACCCCACATAACACCCCAGTCCATAATTCAGATCCAACCACTACCCCACACAACACCCCAATTAAAAGTCCAAACCAAACCACAACCCCACACAACACCCCAGTCCAAAATTCAAATGAAACCACAACCCCACACAACACCCCAGCAGAAAGTCCCGATCCAACTACAACCCCACACAACAGCCCGTACTAAGCTCCATGCACAGCCAAAACCCCTATCGACAACCCAGCCTATATTTCAAACAAAACCTCAACTGCAAATCCAAACAACAGTCCAGCCCAAACTCCACACCCAACCTCAACAACACCTGGCAGTATCCCAGCCTACAGAGCATACCCACCCCCTTTCACTGCCTCAGACAAAACCAAAACCCCAATCACATCTTCAAACCACACCACATCTTGAATCAGAACCACAGCCTCAGCCAACACCCTACACCAAACGCCAGGCCCAACCTCTAGCACAAGAGCAACATAAGACCCAGACAGAGCCTCAGAGACAAGATCAACTAAGTTCCCAAACCACTCCTGTGCCATCCATTCAATCCACTTATCCAATACCCCAGCACATTCCCTATACCAAGGAAAGACTGCTAAAGACTCAAATTCAACCTCAACCTCAACCTCATCCACAAAATAAATCTCCAAATCCACCACATAAACCAAAGACACCACAACAACAGCCAGGTGTAAGTACCAGGCACAAGTCTGGAAACCAACCAACATCAAAACCAAGCATAATTTCTTCCCATTCCAAACCCTCAACACAACCCGAACCCAAGAACCAAACCAAGCCCCAACCACTCTCTCAACCAAAAAGGCAGCCCAAGCTTCACCCATCAACTCAATTTCCAAAAAGTCATTCAAAGCCAATAATTAGGGATAAGCAAAACTCTCCACCAAAAATTCTGCCACAGTTAAAATTACAACCTCCAAAAAACACCCAGGACCATGTTGTACCTCAACCCATTACCAAGCCACAGTTTCCATCAAAGGCCCAGTCACAACCCCAACTTCCATCTAAGCCCCAACCTAAACCTCAAGCTGGGCTTCAGCCTCACTCCAGGACCTACTCTGATCCCACCAAGGTCACCTCAAAGCAGGCAGTCCCTACGGGTAAAGACCCTACTTTTCAATCCACAATTTGTAATCCGCAATTTAAGCATTAAAACCTTAGCTATTAATTGTTATTATTTAATTTTTAATGGGGGTATAAGTTTAGAATTAGTTTATGAAAAAAACTGTTTTAAATAAAGAGTTCTACATCTCTTATCTCAGAAGTAGCTAGAATGTATCTTTTAGGAAGTTACATATTTTGATAGTAATCCATACCTTAGTTAAACCCAAGAGGATAACTGCATGACATGTATGAGTTAATTCTTAAATATCGTGATCACAACAACTTTTGTCAATGCATTCATTTTGAAACCAACAACTGGCAAATAGTAGTAGGGTAAGCCCCCTGTAAAAAAAACTAAAAAACTAAAAAACTAAAACTATGTTCACATGCATCTTATACCAGATATAAAGTGAGTTTTCTTTCACACAGCTCCTAGTCCACAAGAAGAGGGCAAGCCTCTACCAAGACCTGCCCTGGCTACAGAGAAGGCTGGTAGATACAATCATGGTAAACACCATGACAAGTTTGTCCCATTACCATCTCTGCTTTTTTGTCAAGCCACACAGAGAATGGTGCTTTGAGTTGTATTTCAAACCATTTGACAATGTCACTGCTTCCCCATCTCCATCTCCATCCAATCACCCCACACACCCTGTCCTGTTGTCGTTCCTGTCTCCATGTGTGGCTCCATCTTCAGTGCAGCACACTTCACCTCACCCCTGCCCATTCGCAAACAAATTAGTCTGGCTAGCTTTCAATCTCATTTACAGCGCTCTGTCATTTCATCCAGTGTCTGCTCCTCTGCATTCTTTTTCACGTACATGCTTTACCATTTATCCCATCTAGGTCAAGCCTTCCAGCTCCCAACTAACTAACTTCCAGTTGCCTCTCTACTCATCTAGGTCCTGGTGTTCTCGGGTCGTCTGAAGTTCCTCGTTCTCCCATTAGCTCATCTGTTCCTACAGCAGGAAGAAACACCACCCTGCGTCGCACATGGGCTACTTCTCATTCCACTAATCATGTTGCCAGACCATTCTCACAATCCAGGACAGTCACTTCCTCTCACAGTTCCAGCACACCTGGCGGTAATGGAATACTCACTTTCCCTTCACTTATTTCTTTTTCCAAGCAGCTACCTCAGGTTATTACCTTCTCTTAGCACGCTTACACACACTACAGCTACAGAAGAAGATAAACAAACTCATGACTAGTGATTTTAGCTACACGATATGTGGTGAGAGCATACCGTAGTCAATCAATTTTGTCCTCTCCACATTCTGCCACATGTGCTTGGTGTGTATTTAACACTTTTACCACGAGCAGCAATGGCGTCTATGGTGTAAGGATCGTTAACATGATTTACGGTCCCTCTCGCTGGCCAGGTGAGAAGTCTGGCCTCAGCACTGGCCAGGACACATCACATTTTACACCACCAATGCCAAGACAAGTGCTGTGCCGACAGCACAGCCACCACAGTCCTTCTTTCTCTTCTGTATCTCTTTTTCTTTTAAACATACGCCCCTGTTCACTACCCAGATATCTCGCCTTTCTTCTTATTTGGTACTGGTATGTTTTTCCTCAGTGGCACAAAACATTATATAACAGACCTTTCTCTCCCTCCAGCAGCCAGTGGGGCGCATCATAGGGGCAATGCTCTTCCTAGACGTATGGTGTGGCCCAAAGAAAAATCCGGTAAAGACAAACCAAGATAATTGCCTTCCAGTGTTCCTAACTCACTAACCTCAGAGGCACTGTCACGCCCCATCCCACTTCATCACACTGATCTGTGCTTTTTGTCACAATGCACTTCCGCTCTGTGACTTTCAGCTTATCCGTCAATGTGACAGTGTTTTCTGGTCATGGTCTGTGTTGTCTGATGTGTCCAGTCCCAGAGGCTTTCACTTGACTGAGACTGAAGCCACATATTAGGAAATCTATTATACAACTGTCTTCATATTACCAAGTCTAAAGCACATATGGACTGGTTTATGTTAGTCTGAGAGTGCTAGCTGGGAAAGGTGAATGTGGGTTGCCCCTTTTTTGGTGATTCACATTGTTTCCATTCTGCCAGGCAGGCTCAGTTAATTAGAATAATCGAATCCATCTCAAATAGTAATGCAAACCATGTCTGGACCGCATGTATTAATGGTGGCGCTCTGCTCACTCCTTGTTGTTGGGAGTTGTGTAGAGCAGTTCAATGCTTCAGTCCCATGTCACAGCTGTTATGTGTTATTTCTGGAAACTTGGACAGTTTCAGAGGTCTTCAAGGAGTCGCAAGGCTCTCTGGAAGCAACTCTACAAAAAAAGGAACATTTATTTCGCCTGCCGCCCTGCTCATCTAAGCAGAAATCTCCCACTGACTTTGTTTAAAGGACAGCATCTACACATAGTTCACCTTCCTGCCTTTATAAAGTAACTAAGTTGTTCATGTTGATATCAAAAGCTTTGCATACTACACTAGCAGCTGGTACAGAGTGTGTGCTTTTAATGAAACTAAGAATTAGAGCGTGTCCACAATAGCTTTATAGAGCCGAGTTGTGCTTATAGTTGGATGCACGTGTCCGCTATTGAATCACATCCATGAAGGACATGAAATCTGAGTGTGTGTTGCAAAAGTAATAACCCCGGTGTTGTGAGACGCTGGTATGTATTTCACTGGGAATATTTGTCTGGCCTGACCGTAAATCTTGGTGTTTTGGTTGCATATATTTTCACATTCTAACCCCAAAGAAGATGAAGTTATCTGACAGAAACCAGCGCTCACACCGCTGCTGCTGTTTTAAATCACAGATCTGAGTTAGATGTTTTTGGCATATTGCAGGCTCAATGTGGTGTTTTAGTGGTTTTATTGTGAAACATCAAACCAAACTCACCTGCTGTAGAAACTGTAGAGCAGCTCTCATCATGTCATACACTTTGTAGACATATTGTTGACTTTACACTTTACACCTTGATGGCTCATTTCTTGTTCAGTTAACCATGACAGCGCTGTCAGAGCTGTCAGTTCTTCATATTACACATACCCAATCGACATAGTTTGTGATTTTATGGGCTATTTTTGGTAATAGTTGGACAACAATAGTCATTGTAAAAACAAAATATGCCCTCTTTCAATTTCAAGATTTTATGTGTCAGGAAAAATCTGGTACAAGCCAATTTCTAATACAACCTCAGATGAACAACAACACATGGCATATTACACTGTCATTATTAATTTAACAGAAACTATGCCAAAATTCAGAAGCAGTTTGCGAAATACTAACTGCATAATTTAGTAGCTTGCAGAATCACCTTTAGCAGTAGTATGTTGCTGTAGGAAGTAATCATTTCCTCTATGACTTGTAAGTTGTAGAAGTTTGTCCTGCTCTTCTTTACAACATTACTTCAGTTCATTGAGGTTTGCAGGCATTGGTTTATAAGGAGCTTCATATTAAGGTCCAACCACAGAATTTCAGTCAGGTTGAGGTCTGGACTTTGACTAGGTCATTGCAACACCCTGATTCTTTTCTTTTCAACCATTTTTGTTATAGATTTCCTGCCGTGTTCGGTATCATTGTCCTGTTGCATGAACCAGAGTTGCCCAAGCTTTAACTGCTGTACAGGTGGCCTCATATTTCATGCAGAGGAGTCCAGGTGTGGCTGCAAAACAAGTCCAAATCATCACCCCTCCACCACCATGCCTGACAGTTCATATCAGCTGATGGTGCTGCCATGTGCTCTTTTTAGAGAGTTATTTTCTGGCAGCCTTTCTGAACCAGTCACATTTGTTCAGTCTTTTTCTAATTGTACTATCATGGACTTTAACATTTAACATGTTAACCAAAACCTGTAGAGGTGCTCAGCTCTTTGGGTTTTTGCAGTTTATCTAAGCATTGCACGGTCTGACCTTGCGCTGTATTTGCTGGGACATCCACTCCTCGGAAGATTGGCCAGTGTCTTAAATCTTTTCTAGTACTGAATGATTTTTCTCCTTGTAGAATAATAGAATTCACATTATTTGGAAATGGCCTTATAATCCAGCCTGCAAACCACTGCTGCTTTTATAGAGGCACACATATGCTGATGATCAGTTAATCAAGTGAATATGATTAGCAGCACCGGGCTGCCACTGACCCTCTTAATTCCTATAGAACCAGTAAGGGTTAGAGATGGACTGATCCGATATTACATATCGGTATCGATCCGATACTGGCCTAAATTACTGGATCGGATATCGGAGAGAAATAAAAAATGTAATCCGATCCGTTAAATATCACAAAAGCACCTCACAAAACTTGTGACATGGCGTAACTCGGCTCTTAACCTTAGCATGTCAGAGCAGTATGTTGTACGTGATAGAGCGGCTATGGCATGCGAGACCTGTCGGCGGTCTGGTTGAGCATTTGGAGCCTTGCTATCAACCCAGCATTTGATCTCCAACAAAGTTATCCCAGAGAGAAGTAAAGCAAGTGTGTAAGTTCATCTCTGAATGTTTGTAAAGCTTTCCCGCGTTAAGCTTAACAACCGATATATGGAGCGGATGCCTCTTCTCTCTCCCTCCCTCTCCTGCTGCTACTTCAATCATGAAACTGATTAATGATCAGCTGATCGGCTTTTCTGTCACGACTCCGTCTCTCTTGTTTGTTTATCGCCCACTTTGCACCAGAAAGAGGAAACCAGCGGATAAACAACAGCAGCACGTTTAAGCTTGATAAGCTGTTGTTATAATTTATTTAATATTATTTTCTAGACCAGGACCCTTTTCTAGCTGCTGACGGCTGGTAACTGTGCAGGGGCGGATCTAGCAAAGTTTAGCCAGAGGGGCAGGTAGGGCATTAAGAGGGAAAAGGGGGGCACAAAGACATACTTTTCTTTCTTATTCTCATTTAAAATGTCTAGCTTGTATTAAATAATTATCTGAATCTAACACCCAAAGTTTTAATTTGATGTAAAATGTATAGAAGTCCATTACTGTATATAGTAACTGTTAAGTCTAATATACCCTAGTAAGCTATAGTACTTTTTCCTTTGGGAAGATACCATCTGTGCAGTCTGCAGTTCTATTGAAGAAAGATGTTGAATCTATTTAATTATTCTTGAAAAATTTTAGTTTAGTGTTGTTGTTTTAAAACTTGAGTATGAACTTGAAACTTCAGCAAGATATTAAAAAAAACAGTTTTATTGATTAAAAAAACTATATCGGATTCATATCGGTATCGGCCGATATCCAAATTTATGATATCGGTATCGGACATAAAAAAGAGGTATCGTGCCATCTCTAGTAAGGGTGTACTTAGTTTTTCACACATTAGGTTTTGTTAAATAAATCATGACATGGTCTAATATGTCATATGTTGTTGTACTGAAATAATCTTAAAACCTGCTGAGCACCAGATTAGTTTTCATTATGTCCTTATATGTGAAATCTTAGAATTGATGACGGTGTACTTTCTTTTTACCATGGCTGTACACTACATGTGAGTCAGATGTCCTCCTAGATTATATTTTAATCATATTGATTCAGCTTGTTTTGCCTGACATCACTGATTCATACTGACCATGGAGAAGTCAACTCCAGACAAACCCAAATTAAATGTTTTTTTGGCATCTTTATATAGACAATTATTTTTTATCTTGTTGCCAGAGCGACCATTAATGAATATCCAAGATAAGAGATGACAAATGGCTCTGGAAATGAAACACAAACTTTAATGCAGGTTTTCTTTAAAGAAGTCAAATATGAGGTGTTTTCATTACAGAACCTTGCACTTCTCTGTGATCACTTATCCAAAACCACAAAAGCCAGTTCATTTCTCGTGTTCATTTAAGCAGTTCAGACTGAAATGATGTGATACTGATTTCACTGTTTGGTCCAATTGTTACTATTATTATTATTTATTTATTTTGCATTCTTTGTGGAACATTTTTATGGTCAAATCCCAAACATTTTTCTAGTGGAAATGAGTCAAAAAATGCTTCATTACCCCAGAATTTGGCCTGCCTTGGTTTAAGTATTGGCTTTATTTTTTTGTTTCCTCACTTCTCAGTTCTGTAGATTTTAGGATGAGTGGTTCAAACTTTTATTTTCAGTTTTCACACCGACTTTACATGAGCTACAGGTTGTGGTACTCCTCTGTGGCAGGATTTTACCAAGAAGCTTTTGGGCACGTCACATGCAACCTGTCTGGCTGCTGCATTGTTGCTTTTATTATGTTTATGTTGTATTATGTGTCTTTTTATTTTCTTTTAGTGCAAGTATCTCTGCGTACGTCTGCTCTGATCCATCTCCCCTTTGAAATTTGACATTCTTCATTATTTTTGCACTCTTACATTAATCAACACTTGTTTTCAGTTTAGTATCTGTTCTCCGGTGCTGACCACATTCTGCTTTGCTTTTCTTGTGAATCTTATTCTGAAAGAGACTCTGTTTCCCACAATTCCTTGCAGTTCTGCGTCCCCCTGTTTCTGGCAACAAGAAGCCCAACCTGGTGGGAAAGCCTAGCAGTCATGGTGAGGGCAACAGATGAGTGAATGCAACTGCACCTCACCCACATTCAGAGTCTCCCGAGTGTTAAAGGAGAGTATGGAAGAAAAATAATGCAATTCAAGTTTAAGTACCAGTTTGTCATAGATAAACAAGCTGATGTTTTTCTAACATATCAAGTTTTGAGTTAGTGAGGCAGAGGTTCTGGAAGACCGTTTCGTCCAGTCTTTATGTCTTTTTGCTGCGTTTCATGCTGAGCAGACAAATATCAGTCTTTTTATCTGTCAGTACGAACATCTCCAAATGTGTTTCCAAAGATATCCAAACTATTGCTTTAAACTTCTTCCAGAGTGCCAAAGTTTGAAGTCTGCTTAACTGCTACATCTCCTGCACGAGCATCACTTGCTATCCTCTCTTCCCTGTAAAATAATCTTATTCAGTGTCTGTGTAATGCTTTCAAAACTAAATTTTAATAGGCTTGCAAGTGTGGAAGCATTTTTTTAAATACACCTTTTCCTGCTACACCCACCATATGTTCAACTTAAATTCATGATTTTTATTTTTTATTTTTCCAAGTCAGTCACAGCTGTTATGCTTTTATGTCCTTCACAGTTTGAGAACCACCATCTTAAGCCATCTATTATATGACTAATGCACAAAACTGCAATTATGCTGTATTTATCTCACCTTTTACATCTCAGCTGTCTCCCTGCTTAGTTTCTCTCACCGTTTTCATATAAATGCACTTATGAGCATTAAGTAAGTGTTTTTGTGTGCATGTGAGCGCATCTGGGCACCCTCGGTCTCAGCAGTATGCATTCTGGCACCGCTCTTTCCCCTTTAAAGAACACTAGAGAGATTACTCGACGATCAATCTCTGATCCTTCAGCAGCCAGGAAAAGGCCACTGAGTTGCTCGGTGAGGATGGCCAGAGCAGATGGATTGCAACTGTGTGTGACTGTGAGTCAGACAATGAGGGAGAAGAACTGAACTCTCCTGCTGTTCTGTCCTCAGATAAACTCATGGACCTGAAACAAGGAGAAAAGGCGTCTATCCTGAAGCCGTTCCCGCTGGTCACAGCCAGACCCAAGCAAGAGCCCAAACAGCAGACGACCACCACAGCCCCTGCGCTAAACAGTACGAGCAGCACATTTTTGCAGTGTTTCTTCTGAGGAACATGATCACATGCATGCTAAATCACCTCCCTGTAAAAGGATAGAGACTGAATGAGTTTTGCAGACATTGCGTTAACAAAGACAATGCGTCGGTGATGCAGCTGGCAGATGTGTATAGTGGGGAGATAAAGAGAAAAGCAAACTTAAAAAGCACCAAGAAGCAGACAAAGAGTCTGAATGCAGGCCAGAGCAGGTGCTGGGCTAGCTGGTCACTGACCTGGGCCAAAGCTGTAAAACTAAAAGAGGGAGAGCTGCCAGGGACTCCTGGCTCATCAAACTAACCCCATCTCCTCTAAACTGTTTCCTTTCCAGCCAGCCGTTTTGACATATATGAAAACTCCTCCATATTCAGGCCCTTGCCTAAGTCAGAGGTAGACAGCATGGGCAACCCGCGCTTTATAGGTAAGATTTTAAAGTATCAATGATTTAATCAGTTCTTTAGCAGCACCAATTAGGGTCTTAATGTGACATGAATAAAATAAATTCTTAACATACCCACATACAGCTCCCCACGTCATCTACAAGACAGATAAGCCGCCAGAAGAGCCGTGTTCTATCACCTCCTCCCTCGCTTACTTCCCCGATGAGGAAGGCAGCGATCAGAATGTGACCGGTCCTCCCCGTCTACCTCCATCCAACGTCACTGTGGTCACCGTGGAGGGTTGCCCATCCTTTGTCATTCTTGACTGGCAGAAAACCGACAACGAAACCAGAGGTATGCAGAGAAAAGGCTGACATTTACGAATGACTGGACGGAGATTGAAACTGCCTCCCAGTGGCCTGAGTTGTATGAGGTGGCTGGATTTCATTATACTTGTTTGCAAGTCTTGATTAAGAGTTTAGACTACATTGTAATCTCTTTTTATTAACCACGTGTGGCCTTGTGGATATTACCCTAGATTGTTATATAAAATATTAAGATGGTTTCTTAAGCTGTCTTATAAACCGAGTGCAACAAGTGAATCCAAGGTCTGCGCCCAGTGACACATCACAACAACAAAAAGACGTGTTCTGCCTCCGGTGCTCATGTGTCTCTTATTAAGATATGTCACTGTTTTCGGGACAATTTCATGAATAGATCCAGGTGAAATGTTTGAATAAAAAGCACTATGTGAGTTCTCCCTTTCCTCTTTTTCTCAGAGTATGAAGTTGTGTCCACCACCACAGGCCCGAATGGAAGGCAGATGTCAGTATTGACAACCAACCAGACCCACACAGCCGTGGAGAATCTCAAACCAGAGAGCAGGTCCGCACCCCACAGACGTCCTGATATTATCCTTAATCTCGTTTGGGATCGAACACCAGATTTGTTCATATAAATCTGTAGATGAACAAATGCAGCCCGGCTGAACTAAAATGACTGACTGCATTAATAAAGTTCACCGCTGATGGAATTAAGAGAGGCGTCTTAAATTGCACTGAAGTGCTCCGAGTTTGCATCACTTAAAGTTAATTCCAGATTCTTCTGAACTCTTGCGCTCGTGCAGTGAGTCACATTTGGTTTTGCTCACACAAAATGGCCAAAGTGACACCAAAAAAAAAAAAAAAACAAGACAAAAAACTGAAGAAATGTGGGTGGAGTGGGTCACTGAGTTTTCAATTAGATCTCAGCATCTGGAGTCTCAAGGCTCACCAGAACCCTCCCTGGGGCTGGGTTTGCTACATGAACAATTGCCAGCACATCTGAGCGCACCACGTGGAAGAACCATCAGCTCTGTGTGTGTTATTCTAAGTGTAAACCCACACTCAGCTGTCAAACACTGCTGTTTATTTTCATCTTTCAGCGTATTATTATTATAATTATTATTATTATTGCCCTTAATATGTATTTCTTTTCAGTTATGAATTCACAGTAACACCGAGGAATGAGCTGGGAACGGGACCCTCCTCCGATCCTGTAACTTTTAGCACAGAGTCAGGCAAGTTTTACAGACCATCTAATGCAGGTCAAATCCACCATAAACCCCCACAGAAGAAACTCATTACTTGCATGTAAATGCCACTGTACATGTTACTTTCCAGGCTGTGATTAGCATGAATTCTCTTGTACTATTAGGCAGTTGCTAGTCTAATCATTTCAGCATGGCACTGGGGAGCAAGCTGATTAAGGATCAAATCTTGGGTCTTGTCAAGCTCACCAGATTTCCTCTGAGGCTCATTTCTAACACATCATGCACCTGGTGATCACAGCATTAAGCTGAATTTGCTCCATTCATTAAGCAGCTGAAATGTGTCCTCGCGTTGATCAGCTCTTATGTTTTTAATTCAAAATGACAACACAGAGGGCTGAGTGGTTAGCTTAATTGGCCTCCTGCTCTTGTGCAATCAAAGCCCATCCTGTTGGGGTTGTACACTGTAAATAATATGCTAGACACTCTGAGGCGAGTCTGGATTTGACTGCCTGTTATATCTGAAATGTCTTAATGATGTTGTTCATTACAACTTTCCCTCCTGTCTGCAGCGGACCCTCGAGTGAGCGAGTATGTTTCAGGTGATTTGTTTTCCCCCTCTTTTCACAATATTTTAGCCAGCTCGACAAGTCAGGAATCAGTATTTCAGATTCTCTTGATATTCTGAACAAACCCCACAGGCAAAGATGCCATCTGGACTCAGTTTCCGTTTAAAGCTGATGCCTACTCTGAATGCAATGGAAAGCAGTTCGTGAAGAGAACCTGGTACCGAAAGTTTGTGGGCATCCAGCTCTGCAACTCCTTAAGATACAAGATCTACCTGAGCGAGACTCTCAATGGTAATTACGCAAGCAAATCAGTGAACAGGAATGACACAAATCACATTACAAATCACTTGCAAACACAATGTTATCCTTAACCGGCTTGATTGGACAGCAGTACAGCCTCTTTTTTTTTCTGAAAAAGCATAAAATTGGCCTCAACATGTAATTATTGATTTTTTTTTAATGAGTCTGTTAATAAATTTGAAGCAGTAGATTAGATTAGTTTAAAAGTTGATGCATGGAAATGAAACGTTTCCTCGTAATTCTAAGAGGACATTGACTTGGCAGCTGCACAGGAGCTGCTTGTATGTCTGTGTAATGAGAAAAGGTAAACTAAAACTGATTTAAAAAAAAAAAAAACAGCAATAAATGTGAAACAAGAAATGGAAATAATGTAAAAGAAAGTAGCACGCTTCATATCCAAGAAAACATGAAAAAGCTCAAAAGATTTCGTTCTGCAAAGCATCTTAGCATCGCACACCATTCAAACACCAAAGAAGAGAACGATGATTCACATGCTTCTCTTGGTTCTTTCTTTCAAATTCATTTGCAATGAACTGGGAGTTAACTTGTTATGCGGTAACTAAACAATAACTTCTATTCTCCCCACTGCAGGGAAGTTTTACAACATAGGGGATCAGACGGGATACGGCGAGGACCACTGTCAGTTTGTGGATTCTTTCTTGGATGGCAAGACTGGCAGCCATTTTCTGGCTGACCAGCTTCAAAGCAGACAAGGTATTTTGGTTAGCTGTAAACAACCGCTGATTATTTAATGCCTTTAATTTAGCAGAGTCTCATCTTTCCTCCGTTTGTTGCCAGGCTTCTACAGAGCGCTGAGACAAGAGCCCGTTTCCTTTGGAGAGATCGGAGGAAAGTCGCACGCGACTTACGTAGGCTGGTATGAGTGTGGCACGCCCATACCTGGAAAGTGGTAAGAACCCACAGGACTGTCCAGGAGGATGGACTAAGTAGTGAGGAAGAAGATGGACATCAAAGACGCCTGAGTGATCCTGAAGGGAGGTGGGCTTTTCTTACGTGGACTCTGTAGACGGCGCTTTAAAATCACACCTCCGTCCTGGACGTGGACTTCTACAGAACTATTAGGCGTCACAAAACTCTCTAGAGTACATTTCTTGATCATAAATGTCCCTAGGGACAAAAGAATGCAGAAGTTGGAGTGATCCAAAATGTTGAACATACAATTAATCACAAGAGAAAATGTTGGGAAGCTGGCTCCCAAAGTGTAATAACTTGATATAAAGTATGATAATATTTATCAAGAATATTGAATTGTGTGTGCTGGGGCTTTTGAGATAAACTAAAATGCAGTATTTGTATTGAGCGCCCACACTGGTCATGTGTATACAGACAGGTGCCAATCATATGTTCATTGTACAGGTTGACTGTAAAATACACAAACACACAGTGACCTTCTGCTGGCCCTAAGGGATTATTAACAGTTGCAGTTTGCACAGTATTAAACGTCTGCTCATATATGTATATGGTGTCCAATACAGTTTATTAAGTGTCTGACAGATGGTGGCACATTTCAGGTAAAAGAGAATAATCAGTGGTTCAGGCCAGCATTTCTATGGGAGCTTTTAGAAATGAGACTTGATGCCATTAATGTCGGCTTGTCCTGTATTTTACAGAGTAAAAATATAATAGTGGAAACTGTACAAATAGAATGTGTTCTCTTGTTATAGCTCTGCAAAAGGTTAAAAGAAATTGTGGCCTATATGGCTACAGTGATTTAATGCATTGTGTATAATTCCAGCAATCGATCCTGTTTTATTCTTATTGGCAAACAGACGGAGAAAGTTGGGATAGTTAGGAATATTATCTCCCTCGAGCACCACAGACTGACTGGTGTGTGTGTGTGTAATGGCATTAAAAAGGACTTTAGATTCGCAATTGAACCATTAACTCATAATGAGAGTGTTCAAGTAAGGTCAAAGGTATAAGAGCAGAAGTTGTTTAGTCGTAGACGTAAATGTATCCTGGGGTCTCACCCCCTGCTGGCTAACAGAAAAAAGTGCAGCCTAAAAGCACTAACACTTTGGCTTCACTTTCAGACGCTACAGACTTTACTTAGCACAAAAAAGTAATATAAAGGAGAAACATCTGACCTGTTACTTTCAAGCACCTTTAAAATCCCACAAATTCAACAGGTTATTTGATTTAACTTGTACAAAAATATATACATTTAAAAAAAGATAAGACCATTCTCAATTTAAGGTTATGTGAACAGTAGGGGTGCAACGATACATGAAATTCACGGTTCGGTTCGATTCTTTGGTGTCACGGTTAGATATTTTTTCGACACAAAAAAAATGTTCATGCCTTTTTAATTTGTCATTTATTAAAATTATAAATATATATATTAACTCAAAAGTACAGTTTTTAAATTTAATGTTGCTGAAACAACAAAGTAATAAAAAAAATTAATCTATCTGATCGAGGAATCACTCATCTTTGGAAAAGAGAGTTTATTACAGAGAAATGGCTCTTTACAAAATAAAAGTTATACTATACGCTTCTTCTGGGGTATATTCTCAGCAGCATATTAAACATATCAGGTCCCCATAAGGAGAATCATGTGCTAACGGCTGT